AAAAGAGTGTCTACATTGGCAGGATGCTTTTCCAGAAAAGCCCTTTTTCCGGAAAAGCGTCCGTGGCCAATGTAGACGCGCTTTTCCGGAAAAAAGCCATGATCATCATTTTCGCGATTGGGGCTTTTTTGTGGAAAAGACTACTGGGCTGTCTTCACTGGTCCTTTTCCGGAACAGTTTTCCGGAAAAAGGACTTTTGCCCTAGAGGGAGCAGCATAATTTTTCCGGAAAAGCAGCTGATTTCTTACAGTAAATCGTCACTGCTTTTCCGGAAATTCAAGCGGCCAGTGTAGACAGCTCACAGCTTATTCCAGAAAAGCGGCTGCCTATGAGTCTATGAGTTAACTATCTTGAGCAGTTCGGTAGGATCTGTAAATTTTGTCACCTCACTGTTTACTCCGTTCTCTAGATCATTTATAAAGAAGTTGAATAGGATGGGTCCCAGGACAGATCCTTGGGGGATCCCACCAGTTACCTCTCTCCACTCTGAAAACTGACCCTTTATTCCTACCTATTGTTTCCTGTCTTTTGACCCGGTTAATCTATAAAAAGACTTTCCCTCTTATCATGCTGGAGATACTTCAGAGATGCTTGAGATTAGATATCGAGGCTCCATCCACCTCCTTACTTCAGCCTAAGGAATTATACAGGCACTGTTCCACTCAAAAAGATCTGCCCTGAAATGAACTATACAGGCAACCAGCCATAGCAAAGCTGTCTGGATCACATATGTAAAACCAATCATGTCACCTCATGTATGTTTTTCTTGGGCCAGAGCAACCGAAATGCTGACTAATCAGACATCTCTCCTTTGAATGAGGCATACTTGCAGCTCTTCTAATTAACAATGGCCATACTGATTCTGACCCGTGATCCATCTAGTCCAGTATCCTGTCCTCTGACAGCGACCAATGCCAGATACTTCAGAGAGAATGAACAGAACAAACAATCATGGAGTGAGCATTCCCAGCTTCTGGCAACCAGAGGCTAAGGATATCCAGATCATGGAGACACATCCCTGACAGTGCTGCCTCTAAGATTTTCCACCCATGAGCGGAGTAAGTTGTGTCTTCTGCACCAATATTGAGGTCATGCACACTTGTTCATATGTGCGCCTCTATGGCACCCAAGATATTCTCTCTCACACACACACACACACACACACACACACACACACACGTTATGAAAGAAAGAACACTAAAACTAGGGGTAATTAACAAGGTTCATGACTTTAAATGTTTATTTAATATTAAGTCAAATAAAAAGAAAATTAATACTGCAAAGTTTTCAGTATGTTAGATTAGCCTCATTATTTTTCTATTCCACTCAGGCTCCACTGAAGTTTTCTTACTGGCTTTCTACACAGGAGCCTTTCCTGCTCCTGCAGAGTTCGTCCTCCGACTCCAGATCATTACAAACTCAGGAAAAACAACATGATTTCAGTTTCTGTCCTTCTACAGTAAGTTCTCAAAATCAATATTCTACTTTCATTATTCTGCTGTTTAGCTGTTGTTTTCAGTTGGACTGTTTATTATCCAGGAAGGGGGCTGAACTCTTTGACTAAGCTGGAGGGCTGAGCCTCTCAAAGCCTGACAAGAGACAAATAGTCAGTAAGAGGCTCCACAGAGCCTTCTAATATTCCCTACTAATATTGGTTACTTTGATTTGCTGACAAAATGGGAATTTTTGTGCGTTGTTAAAATCTGTTACAATTTTTCATAAAGTAGATGTAGGGCAGAGATGGAAGGTGGAGGGAGGAGAGTGGTATAAGATAACCTGACAAAATTCCTCTGCTTTTTTGTGTATCTATTTGACATTTGCAGATTGTTCCGTATACATCCTTGTAGAACACACCCTCTGAATTGCTGACTATGCCAGATATACCCTAAAATTGTATAGCTTGTTCAATATTTCCCACTGTATTCAGTTATATTTGCCTTTTTCTGTTCAGAATTGTATGCAAATAAATGTCATCCTTCTCAATTTTTTTTGTTCACGATTTGCCATGTATTTTATAAATAAATACTTCTCTATCATCAGATCATTGACGAATGCATAACAAACATTTAGTGTTCAAAACATGCATTATAGGCTATTTTTGTTCCCTGATCAACCCTCTGTATAATTGCCCATTAAACCAAATTCTTCATGTCAGACTATAAAAGTAGAATATTGTTTTGAGAACTTAGTGTAGAAGGACAATTTACTGAAATCATGTTGTTTTTCTTGAGTTTGTAATGATCTGGAAGTCAGCTTGCTGTTCTTATGCAAAATATCTCTTGGATATGAAAAGTTTTGAAGGGATTCATTAGAGGAGCTCTATCAAAAGAGCACCAGCCTCTAAAATGGCAAGCCCTTGGAAAGGTCAATCAAAATTCAGTGAGTCTCTCACTCCTATCAATAGAACATAAACATTATCTTCAACAGATCTTGACATCTCATGAAAATGACACACCACTGATCTCATAGATACAACTGTACCCTTGGTATCCTGATACAATCAAGATAAACCCCAATCTTTAATAAAGTGGTTGCAAAACAGTTATTCAATACTATGGGTCCAACAGGATACAATTTCTTCAAAGATGTTATATAGGAGAGATTTAGACTTCAGATTACATGTGTAGACCAGCAAAACCATTGTCTCTAAAAATGCAGGGATTAATCCACATTAAAGGCTAACCTCTTGAAATTTGAAAAAACAAAATAAAATGGTTTTTAAAGCACAGAACTAAAGAAAGGGGTATTAAAGTATCAAGATGAAGTTTGTTTTTGTTTTCCTCTCTAATACCTAAATGGATATCTTTTTTTCCCAAAATCTGTAATATAATTTGTTGTTTCCCAAGTTCCAGCTAAAGCATTGCTATAACTCAGCTCTGTACGTTCTAGAATGCCTCCCTTTCCTCCCTTCAAATAATCTTTTCTTTGTTTAAAGGGGACATGTTATATATTTACTCTGTTTCAGCTTTGCTGACATATTACGAAGTTTTGTTGTTCTTAACTGATTATTGAAAGCAATTTTGTTTTTATATTTTTGGGGGTATAATAAAAATTGTTCTGTAAAGGAGTTTTGTGTTGAGGTTTTTTTTTAAACGGACTTCTCACATCCTAGAGAAGAGGAGAGGCTTGCACATGGCTTTGCAGTTTGTACTGATAATCTCTGGTGCTAGCTGTTCTAACCTGTGCTACAATGATACAGTTCAACCCGGAGGATCAGAAAAACACAACTCTCTAATACTTTTGGCAGGCAGAACTCAGCATAGGAAAGAGCCTTAGGGTTCCCTTTCTTATTCTTTATATGGGTCATTATTATTTTAAAATTAAGTGTGTCAAAGAAGAGATAATCATGTTGTAATTTACAATTTGAGAGCCAGGAGAATTAACAATGACATTAGAAAACCCTTGACAGCAGCCGTCCGCCTGCCAGCCTAAGGCCCCAACTCCCAGCAGCCTTCGTCTTCAGCAGCAACGACAGACACCTTCCACACAGCCCCAAAGCCTGGTGGCCTTGGCTCCCGGCGGCAGCGGCTGCTGCCT